AGTAAAAAAAAAAAGCAGATGTAAACAAAATAGAAAACAAAGAGTAAAATTAACAAATCCAAAAGTTAATTCTTTAAAAAGACCAATAAAATTAATACAATACAAGTTAGGCTGATCAAGGAGAAAAGGGGGAAGATCACAAATTATCAGTAACGGAAATGAAAGATGGCTATAGACACATCAGAGGCTACAGACAGTTAAAAAATGATATGAAAATACTATAAACAACTTTATACTAGAAACTAAAACAACTTAGATGAAAATGACAAATTCCTTGAAAATTACAGCTAATACAAATTCTGAAAATTTTAAATCAATATAATACAGATGATATCAAGTTAATTCTTAAAAAAAAAAAGGTAAACTCAAAATAAGTAAAAAAAAAAAGCAGATGTAAACAAAATAGAAAACAAAGAGTAAAATTAACAAATCCAAAAGTTAATTCTTTAAAAAGACCAATAAAATTAATACAATACAAGTTAGGCTGATCAAGGAGAAAAGGGGGAAGATCACAAATTATCAGTAACGGAAATGAAAGATGGCTATAGACACATCAGAGGCTACAGACAGTTAAAAAATGATATGAAAATACTATAAACAACTTTATACTAGAAACTAAAACAACTTAGATGAAAATGACAAATTCCTTGAAAATTACAGCTAATACAAATTCTGAAAATTTTAAATCAATATAAAATGAAAAAATTTGACTAGTTCTATATTAAATAAACTGAATTGGTTATCAAAAACCTTCACATAAACTCCAGGACAGATTGTTTTGCTGGTAAATTCTATCAAATATTTAAGGAAGAAATAACATCAATCTTACATAAACTCTTACAGAAAACAGAGGAGGAAATACTTCTCAGCTTGTTTTCTGAGGCCAGCACAATCCTAAAACCTGACAATCCTAAAGCCTGACAATTACATTATAAAAATACAAATTTACAAATGAATATCCCTCTTTGAACACAGACATAAAAATCTCTAAAAAGATATTAATGAATTGAACCCAGATAATACATTAATGATCAAGTGGGAGTTTATCTCAGGAATGAAAGGTTGATTTAATATTGTAAAATTAACCAATGTAATCAACCATCACAACAGAATAATGGAGAAAACCCACTTAATCATTTCAATGGCTACAGAAGAAAATCTTACATATACCACGTTCATTTGAATTATTGTTCCCCATATCTAATGTGTCATTCCTCTCTGGCTACTCTGCTTTCAAGATTTTTTATTTGTCCTTAGTTTTTGGAAGTTTGACTTTGATGTGTCTGGGTATGGATTTCTTAGATTTATCTCACTTGGGTTCACTCAGCTTCTTAAATCTCTAGGTTTATGTTTTTCAACCAAATTTTAGGAGTTTTGAGCCATTATTTCTTGAATTTTTTTTAGCTCTATATTCCTTTTCCTCCCCTTACTGTACAAGTGACATGTATGTTAGATCTTTCTTTATTGTCCCATAGGTCCCTGAGACTCAATTCAATTATTTTTCAATCTTTTTTCTTGGTTGTTCAGATTGGATGTCTATTGATCTGTCTTCAAATTCACTGATTCTTTCCTCTGTCATTTCCAATTTGCCATTGAGTCAGTCCAGTGAAGTTTTTATGTCAGTCACTATTTTGCAGTTCTATAATTTCATTTGGTCTTTCTTTATATCTTCTATTTCTTTGCTGATTTTTTTTATTTTTCATTTGTTTCCAGTTTGTTATTGATTATTGAGACATTTTTATAATAGTGACTTTAAAATCCTTGTCTGATAATTCCAAATACTATGTCACCCTATGTAGGTGTTAGCATCTACTGATTTTCTTTCTCATTAGAGTTGAGATTTCATTGGTTCTTGGTATGATGAGTAACTATGGACTGTATCCTGGACATTATAAGACCTGGTTCCTGTTTAAATCTTCTATTCTAGCAGGCAGTCAACCTATTTAGGTCAGAACACATGTCCTAGACCACTTTTGTGGCTTATGGTTCAAATGTCCACTGAGTTTATAAAGCTTCTGCAGTGCCATTCTGGTCACCTCCCTCAGGTGACAGTGCTCCAATGGAGACTCTATAGTCTCCACTAGTGTTAGCTCAGGAGGAGAAAGGGCACAAACTCATCACTACACAGTAAAAGGAGATGGTATAAATCCACCCACTGACTCAGCTGGGGAGGGGCTTTGCCTAGTTAATGCAAGGGTGGAAGGGAGGAGTTAAAGCTCCATCCACAGTCCCCATAGGGGTGGGCTGTTATTCTCTTCCTATTACTGCGGGGGAGGGGTATAAGTCAGAGTCCCACCTTCAGTCTCCATGGGAGGTGGGCACCATTCACTTCTGAGAGGGGCAGGTAGAAGTTAGACTTTTACCTAAAGCCTCCATGGAGAAAAAAGTGACACCTCATTGCTATAGGCGAGGGTATAAAATAGACTCCACTACTGTGGTGCCAATTGGGGCTGGGAAGGGATTCACTGCCAGAATATGCAGGTATTATTAAAAGGTTTCTCTTCAGTTGAACTGCCCTTTTCCTAGTCCTTTGGCTAGAGAGCAGGTTTTTCTTGGAGATGTTCTTTTTGCCTATGCTCATTAGCATTTCCAGTTTGCAGGGCACCCAGGCCAGGATATACAGGAAGCAAGAAAACCCCCACCAGGGTACTCATTGCTGTGTGGCTCCTCATATCCCAAGGTCCCTGGTCAGTCTGCCATCTTTCCTCCACTTTTGAGAGTCTTCTTGTAGGTGACTTAGTATTTTGCCCAGAAATTTTTACTGTGATTAATGGAAAGAGTAAAATGAAATGCATTTACTCCATCTTGTTCAGAACCAGAAGATGCAATTTGTTTTCAAATGCAAAGATAAGATGTACTGAGGAGTAGAAGGTTGAAAAGATGGCCATATATATAAAATGAATCAGTATAGTAAATTGTTAGTGGCAGAATCCTGGTGCAGGTATATGGGTGTAATCTGTAAAAACTTTCAACTTTGCTGTACATTTGAAAATGTTCACAATAAAATCTTAGGGGGGGGATCTTTTGATTAAATGAAAAATACAGGTAATTTAAAAAAATCTATACCATGCAAAGAGAAGAAAAGAATTCTGTTGAGTGAAAAAGAGGTACTGGAAATTTGCTCATTTGCTCTGATCAATAAGTTACCAGATTAGCTGGAACGAGAGGCTATTAGATAATAACAGCTCTGGGTAAAAGCTCTAGCCGGATGTATGCTACTTCTCATTGTTAATAGCTTATTTTGTCCATCGCCTGGTACTTAGGCCTTGTCATCTTTATATCCCTGAGAGTAATTCCATCAGAGTTAACAAGGATAGTGCAGTTGAGTCACTGAAGTACTTAAAGGACAGTTAATGTTGGGGAAGAGAGGGAGATGTCTTTAAAAATGAAATCTTTATTTTTGAAAAAACAACCTAATCAACACACAGAATAAATGTGCAAGGTCCAATCTGAGGGGAATTGGGGACAGAGTTATGCCAATGATCCCTTGAGTTAAGGTTGAACTTTTTAAGACACAAAATCTATTCCAATATTAAATAAAAAATTTTTAAATTAATTAATTTTTTAAAAAGACACAAAGTGACCACCTCCACAGAGTAAAAGGTCTTAGGAATGCAAGACTGTCTAGGGCACTGATTATCCTTATTCTTCCCACAGATATAAACGGGATGTTTGATATACAGCATATAGTAGGGAAAAAGCACAGGCATGGGAACAGGATGGACTGAATCCTGTCTCTCTTTTCTGCTAACTAAATGACACTGAGTCAATGACTGCAGTTCTCAGCATCTCAATAGCCCATCTGTAAAATGGAGACAATGAATGCTGAAATAAGGATTAAATGAAATGATAACATGGTCTCTTGCCTATCTAGAAACTTATTTAGGCACACACTTTGTTAATTCTGAGGAGGATGAAATAAAAAGAACAAGAGCTATTCTATTCCTTTCACACAGTGATGAAAATTAATCAAGAACCCTGGATGAGTGAAGCAGATAACCGTCCAATGGTCTCTTACGTTTCCTGTCAGGACAGGAAAGACAGTACCCGCCTCCTGGATCGTACCGTGGCTCTTCTGCTGACTGGTTTATTCTGTGGCTAGGGTTCCTGTGCCAAGGCAAAACTGTTAGTTGAGGCTGAGCTCACTGAGTCGGCAGCTCCTCCTAGAAACTTCACAGGACTCTCCTACATTTTCTTCAAAAAGGGTCTACCCTAAACCTATCTGGTATAAGCTTGACCAGAATTTTCAACATAATGGTATGAAACCTCATAAACAATAGCTTCTCCCCATTGGCTGAAATACATGTTTTATATTTTTTAAAAATGGCCACCTTAAATTTTCTTATTTTAGAAATATTCTAAATGCCTGAATATGTTGTTTGGTAAAATATCTAACATTCTTTTAATCCTATTACAAAATAACAATGAATGTAATGATTCAACATTTATCTTGTGTCTTTCATTCATACTTTTTTTGATCCTCACAATGCTCTAGCCCACATGCCTCTCTTAATCTAACAGTCATGCCCCCAATTTATGCAGTTAGCTCCATATAAAAGCCAGCTTGAGGCACCTTTTTACTATTCACAGAATCAGTCCAAAATCTTTTATTTCGGCCTGCTTTATGCTCCACTTCCTGACTTACTCTCACTCAGCCCATATTTATAGGCTCATTTCACAACTTGGGATCTGTCAATTGCCCTCTTTTCCGGCTGTGATTTCTGGCTTCCCTTATTAACTGTGAATAGTATTTGCCCCACTGACTATACTCCTTTAAGTCATGCTGCACAAATACTCTGCTAGGCCTAGTTGCTGAGCACAGGCCCTAGCAGCCAATACTTCCAAACTGGTTTACACACCAATCTAAACACTTATGCACTATCTAAGCTTTCAATCTATTCATGTTTAGCGACCAAATGGGGGAATTTCCAGAATTAACAAACATGGCAGTCAGTTTCTACCTATTTCTTGTGCTAATTATTATAGGCATTCTCCTTTACCTCTGCCTTTGGCTCAGCTGATTCATTAGAGGTATCAAGTTGTTCCTTGGCTTGGGCCATCTGAGTCATCAATCTATCCATATGGGACTGGATGTCTGCCAGTATCTCAGTCACATGAGCTGTGGCCATTGCTTCCTGGATGTCCACTAAATGAAGGGCCTTCTGCTCCTCATCAGCAATCACTTTTTGAACTTTCTTAAATTCCTG